ATATACCCTAGTGTCAGTGCATTATTGGGATAGGTATGTGGGGTGGTGGCCCTGGATTCCGACTGCCCATATGGCGACTATACACCGGTCATGTTTAGTTTCCTACCAGCAAATGTATGCTAGTGTGTTAGATTGTTATCTGGCTAAAGAAAAAATCATGACAATTAACTGTCTTACTACACACTTGTCTAGCAAACAAAAAGGGAGAAGGGAAAAGATCTCACAGAATTCACCTTTCCTGATCTTTTCCTTCACCTCCCGTTTTAGGTGGACCCCCAGCGGACCCGCAAATGACACGTATGCGTGAAGAGGACCAGTCACGCCGGGACCCACCCCTTGACCCCCCAGCCCTCTGGCCCTAACGGGTGAAATGCTAACACAGCTAGACCCGGAGCCCCCCCCTTGTACTACGCCTCCCCCCAGCTGCCTACATTCCTGAGATGAACCCCACCCCGTCTCCCAATTAAGACACACACCATACGACCCAAAGTGCTTGGGAGGGGAAAAGCTAGTCCAGGATCAAGTTCTTCAAATTCTGGTGTCCATAAAGTGTTAAAATGACTGCAAGTAAGCCTAGAAAATATTATTTTTCTTCTGGTCATATAGTGAGGCCAGATAAATTCTTTTCTGCATCTTGCCATAAAAAAAGGAAATTACCTTTTATTATCTTTGAAGGTGTTTATCAAACGGAACGGAATTCTATTAAAGTACACTGCAGCCCTTTAAGCTCAATTTTGTTTGACATTATCAAGGGAAAATGTGTTACGGCACACATATTTGCAGATGGATTTTTTTTGGGTGGGGGGAGTATTAAATCTATCTTGAAGGAGCGGCAGATATTTGGAACAACAGCTTTTTTTTTTTATTTGTGTGGAATAAAATTGAATTGTAAGGTTAAACCACTTTTCTTTGCTTCCATTTTGAGGATATTTCTAAGGATTGTAATTCAGAAAAAGCCAATCCAATTTGGTGGTTAAAATAGAATGGTCACCTTTTGTTGAGGACAGTCTCTCTTGCTCAAACCAGTAAACATTATTGAAGTGTTTTAAGTGGACCTGTCTTGGTATATAGACAACTTATGTTCATGTTAAAGAGCATAAAATGCAATCTATACATTGTGTAATTACAATTAAAACTAAAGCCTCTCCCCCAATCTGGCAATGAATCTTCGGCATAGACAACAGCGTTGCTTATATGCTCAGGATTGAGAAACAAAAGAGTAGCAGGAGAAATCTCGTACAAGTGGTTCTCCGGCACACACTCAGCAGTAGACATGTGCAATTCGTTTCGGTCCGAATGTGAATTCGGACGAATTTCGGGCAATTCGGACATTTGGGTACTTCCGAATGTCCGAATAGCCGACTTGCCGAAGTGCCGAATTGCAGAAGTTCCAGAATTTCCAAAGTGTTGAAGTTCAGAAGCACAGCATTGCCTAAGAACTAATATACTTACCCAGTGGAAGAATGTAGAATGTTACACTGTATACAATTTTAAATAAAAAGTATACAAACATAGCCAGGACTCAGATGTAAGCATTTGCAATGTAATGACAGGAATGAATAAGTAGATAACTCCCTAATTCCCACGGTATTAGGGAGATATCTACTAAAAGGCTGAAGGGGGCGGGGGGACCTAATGTCCTCCCCCCCGGTCCCCACCCTTGAGTGGTGGGTGGGGGCCCTAAAGTAAAATAATGGGGGGACCTATTGTCCTCCCCCGGCCCCCACCCCTGAGCAGCGGGTGAGGGCCCTAAATCAGAATGGGGGGGACCTATTGTCCTCCCCCCTGGCCCCCACCCCTGAGCCAGAGGGGCCATAGGTCTCCCCCTTAGTCTGATTTAGGGCCCCCACCCGCCGCTCAGGGGTTGGGGCCAGGGGGGAGGAGAATAGGTCCCTCCCCCATTATTTTACATTAGGGCCCCCACCCGCCGCTCGGGGGTGGGGGAGGAAGGACAATAGGTCCCCCCCTTTTTACTTTAGGGCCCCCACACGCCGATTTTAGTATTTTTTTTTTTTAAACAGTGAACACTGGCTGCTCACTGTTTAATAGACATTCCCCTACTCGCAGTATAGCTAGTAGGAGCAACATTTACGAATACTAAGTAATTTTTACTTCGTATTAGTAAATTTGGCTGAAAGACCAATTTAGATCTTTCAGCCTTTTGGTAGAGAACTCCCTAATACCGTGGGAATTAGGGAGTTATCTACTAAGCGGCCTGAGTATCCCAATTGTTCCCCAACCAATCACCACACACTTAAGTCCTTCTCTAAAATCACTTCCTTGCCTTGTCGTGGTACTAGTAGTCCAATAGCTCATTTTAGTATTCATTGTGTTTTTCTGATTTGACTCGACTGTTATTTAGACTATTTTTACTTCTGCAATCCCTTACCTTGACTTTGTGTACTTAATTATTCTACCTTCTCCTATCCTTGACCTGTCTCCAGTTATCCTTATTCTATATTAGGACTATATTCTTTGCTCCTTTCGTTAAGCGAAGCCAGTCTAAGGTCGAGTAATCCGTATTTATCTTTTTATTAATTATTGCTTCTAGCTTGGGTGTTGGGGTAGTACATTGACAGGGAGTATTTTTTGACTTTTCACATAGGCAGCATGGTGCTGACTCAAGAACTTAGAGATAAGTAGAGTAGAAAGTTCACATTTTATTAAAACAACACTATAGTAATATATGTAATATATGTTAAAACCACCATCTTGCCCCCTAAATGGAGCAAAATTGTACTTTTATTCCAGTCTGCTGCTGCTGGCTTTGCCCCTGATCTATCCACTTGGCTGACATAAGTGATTCTCTCAGCCAATCACAATGGTTTTATATAAGAAAGCACTGGCTTGGCTGAGATGGTCAAGGAGGTAGATCATGCACATTGAATTAATGCACATCTATGAGGAAAGTTCAGTTTCTCCATGCAGAGGATGGAGACACTGAATGGCAGTACTGCAAGGTGTGCAGCACTGCCACAGAGAGCACCTCTAACAGCCATCTGATGAGTGACCAGTTGAGTTATCCCTAGGCTGTAATGTAAACAATTCCTTTTCTCTGAAAATACATTGTTTACTGCAAAAGCCTAAAGGGAATGGTTCCACTCACCAGAACTAAATACAATAAGCTGTAGTTGTTCTGGTGACTATAGTGTCCCTTTAAGTTAAAGGGATCATTACAAGCAATTATGTATTTGTTGCTTAAACAGATGTTAAGGCTTAAAAAGATCCTGTCACAACACTAATGTAAGTTAGTACCATGTGCATCAGGCATGTTTACCTTAAAATCCCCTGTACCTAGAAATGCTTACAAGGCGCAGCAAGAAATGTAACAATGCCCTCTATTGTGACATACTTCTGCTTATAAGGTGACCTAAAATTATATAACCATGGTCTTAAAATCTATAACATCATTAGTTATTTAACATGCTGTCACTGCAATTGTTGTGCTGGATTCTACCATTACTCACAAATCCAGTTTGCGGTTGCTTCGTCCATAAAATATCAATATACACGTCTCTCTCTCACATACAAAGACAAATACACACATTTGTAGTTAGAAGCATGTTGCCTGCTTTACCTACTGGCAAATCGGTCCATGCTCACTGCTCATAACTCAAAGCAAAGTCAGACTGTAGAGAAGATAGAATGGTTTTTCGTTTTGGTTTTAGCAAATTTCACCTGAACACATTTGTCACTTATATTAATGAAGCATTTCAATGTTATAGAACACTTTTTTGCATATAGTCTAATAATCAACTCATATTACAATAAATAGGTAAGGATTGCTGTAGTCTTGCTGTGAATTGAAGGCTCTGTATAGATCTGTGTTTAAGTTATTCATATTTTTATAACATAAGATTTTTTTTTCCCATTTGTGCACACATTGTAATATATTGGTGCAGCATCTTAACATATTCAATTATTATGTTCAACTCATTTATATCCATGGTGATCAAACATCTTCCTGTCGCCTGGATTTTCTCCATCTCGGTCTTTCGTAATAAACCTTTGAATGGGGGCAGTTATGCAGTCCAAACCTTGGTGGAGAAGTGTGTGCTTGCTGGGGCAAATAATGACAGATGCCAACCACTTTCTGCCAAGACTCTTAAGGGTATTATTTACTAAATTAATTTGCTAGATCCGAAAACATTCCTCTGAGGTTCAGTTTTTTCACAATTAAGGGAACTGAAATCACATTGAGCTGAACAGGTCCCTGATATTTTCAAATGAACCTCAGTGAAATTCATTACAAAATATTTAATTTGAACAGCAATCACATGGAAGTCTAATTGCCCTGCTAGAACGAGAAAAAAAAATAAGTTAATGCTTTCTTACATGAACGCATTGAGACGACGTTGTCTGGATGACTATATTGTTGCTTTAAAGAAAAAATTGGGGGATGATTAATGGCTGTACCTATGGTATTTATCTCCCTGTAAAAATGTTTGTGCCGCTCCAACCCTCTTTGTTTCTCTATGCACCCTCTTGCGTATCTTTTAACCCTTTCCCATGAACCATTTTTGTCTTTGCCTCCCCCTCGTCACCCAACTATCAATTCCTTAGAGTGGTGATTTGGGACTGCAGTAAAGGATCTTCATTATCCTGTGTGCAGTCTGATAGAGTGGACATCGAGGATATGACATTCATAACGACACACCCATAGGCGTGCGCACGGGGTGTGCCTGGGCACACCCTAATCCCTGCGGCCTGCACTATGTGCCTCCCTCCGTGGGCCGGTGAGGGAAATCATAGATCTCCTTCACCGACCCACAGGCAGGGAGGCAGTAGAGGACCCAGGGAGCTCTTGCCAGCAGCTCCGCCGGGTTCCTCTCACAAGGTCGGAGCTGCGGGGCTAGAGTTCACTCACCACTGGACCACCAGGGATGGCAGCAGCACAGTCCTCCCTCCCTACAAAAGGTAAGCAGGGAGGGGGGGATACTAACTAAACAGCTCCCCCACCACCACACAATACACACAATCAGCCTCACACACAATCACCCACACATACAGCAGTATGTGTGTATGTATGTATGTATGTGTGTGTGTGTATATATATACACACACACATACATACATACATATACACACACACATACATACACGCGTCATGTGTATTTGTGCTTTAGGGTGCACACCCTTATACAATAGGCTGCGCACGCCTATGCCTGCACCCTCCATACTGCTCACAAATCCCAGGTAGATTAGGAAGAGGTTGTGAAGTTCCTCTACTGTGCAAACCTACAAAGAGTGAAAAGCAGGAAGGAGTGCTCTGTGCTCCATTGATCTACCTTTTCAAAATCGCAAAGCTGGTTTCAAATAGCAAACTTTTGTTTGAAACACTCATTTAGACAGCTAAACATAACATAATTGCACAACCCTCTAGATATTACCAGATATATATTTGAGGCAGCCCTACCCCCATTAAATGGTTTAACAAAATGCCCTGGAGCTCCTGGTATAAGAACTTAATTGACTTGAAGTTGATATGGTACCCGGAGTGTTCTTTTAAATGACACCAACTCCTTAGCACTTCCAAATGGGTCACTCCAAAATTCACAGGATCAATATAGACTGGGTGGGTGCAATTAACGTCATGACAGAGTAGGTAACGACTTCTTGGATGTTTAAGGCAGCACGTAATTTAAACACATCCATGAATATATCACAATGCAAAATAAAGTATTGCGTAAAACACTTTAATCAGTTCACAAGCTAAAACGGCAAACACATTGGTAACTGGATTTCAAAACAAAGATATGGTAAAAAAAAAATTGTGTGTAATCACGTTAAGCAAATGACCTCCCCCCAAATCATTTAATACCTGCCACCCCCAAATAAATGATATTTCAGTGAGTATTTTATTTCCGTGGGCTCAGCTTCTGAAGGATGGTATAGACAGCAATTTCCTTTTTGTTTAGCCTCATGAATGGCTGATAAAAAAAAAAAAATTGGGTAGCAACCAGAGTCATACACAGCTGAGACAATAAAATATTGATTTCAGAACATAATTATACAGTAAAGTAACTTAAATATCACTTGGTAGAAGCAGTGTTATAAAACTCAGACAATCCAGAAACAAAGATGTTCAGCTGTTTCCACTTTCTTCCAACATAGAGCACCATGTGGAGTGGAGCTCCCTTTAGAAGGGTTCTCATTAAAGGAAAACTCCAGTGCCAGGAAAACAATCTGTTTTCCTGGCACTGCAGGTACCCTCTCCCTCGCATCCCAGGTAGCTGAAGGGGTGAAAACCCCTTCCGGTCATTTACCTGAGACCCGCCGATGTCCTTCGGCGGTGGTTTCAGGTCGGCGTCGCTCCTCCCAGTAATCACGTCAGCCGGTGGGCGAGACTGATCCCGCCCACCAGCTGAGGAAACCTAATGCACATGTGCGGCAATGCCGCGCACGCGCATTAGGTCTCCCCATAGGAAAACATTGAAAAAGATTTTCAATGCTTTCCTATGGGGAATTGAGTGACACTGGAGGTCCTCACACAGCGTGAGGACGTCCAGCGACGCTCTAGCAAAGAAAATCTTTGCTATGAATCAGGAAGTGCCCTCTAGTGGCGGTCTACTAAACAGCCACTAGAGGTGGAGTTAACCCTGCATAAGAAACTGCAATAATTACAGTTGCAGGGTTAAGAGTAGTGGGAGTTGGCACCCAGACCACTCCAATGGGCAGAAGTGGTCTGGGTGCCCGGAGTGTCCCTTTAAAAGCTGTTCTGCTATAAATATAATATATTTATATACACACAAAATATATATAAAACAGGTCATGCAACATAGAAATATCTACAGTTTTGTACACCTATAGAAAGGTGGGTCTATAAAGGCCAATGATAACATCTTATTACAAAATTACATTTAAGAAAAAAACAAAAAAAACATGGTCATATAAGTTAGGAAGCATATTAAAAAGACAGTGCAGAGTATTTGTGTTTTAAATAACGTGAATATAGCTCATGTCAAAATTAACTTGATTTAATTTATAATTGGGGAGAAAATCTGTATATCAAATTAGTCATAAAGTAAATCATACATTAATAAATGCTATCCACTACTGCATCCAACCGCTCCTAAACTATTACCATTTGAGAATTAAAAAGCAAAAAAACTCATCTGGTGTTGGTACCAGGCCCTGATTTACCTTCGTTCTCTATCAGTTTACGATTGATTAATTATATCCTTTGAATGGCCCATCAATCTAGATATTTTTATTCTCCTGCAAATCACGAAAGTTTCTTAAACCAACACAAACACCCCAAAAAATGGTGGAACAAGACATCTATTTTTTTCCCCCCATGTCAACTGCCTATGCAGAATTGATTTATCTAACCGTAGCAATTGGGGGCTCCACGGTAGCCTCTCCGTAGCCCATTAACAGGCAATGAAGGATGTTAAGGTTTTTTTTTCTGAAATGCAGATTTTTGTGTTTAGCTGCTAAATTAGAAAATCTGTGTATAACAATCTGCATGCCTCATGGTAAATGCATACACATATTTAAGGCACCACTACCCAAGTCCTAGGCACGCTACACAACACGTGTTGGCTTAGCGGGAACATAGGAAAGACATGTTCCTGAAGGTGTGGCATATTACCAAATGTATGCTCTATGAAGAACAGACAGGCTGATATGCCATCTTATTACTGTGGCCATGGTAACAGAACACTGTGATAAAACATTCAACGCGCAAATGTCATTTATTTATACAGATATCACATTTGAGGCAGCAGACAATTTTAAACGCAGCAAAGCACAGAATGCTAAAATAGTGCATTCCTTTAAAAAGACCACAATGTAGCTTAATGACAGATTTATTTTATGACATTTTCCTAATTTATTTAACCTTTAAAATACCCATCTCTATTCCATGAATTTGCTTTGGCGATCTCAATGAATAGTATCCAATTTAGTCTTATAGAAAATATCTATTTATATAGGATGCCAGTTCGTTTGCTTATAGCACATGGCGAAGTTTAGGGCTCATTTCCAATGTGATGGTTACAAATCAGTAATGAGCAGTTAATTCTCAAAAGCCTGTGGATATTTGTGGCCAAAACATACAGACTAACTTCAAAGCTTCAGGTCCATGTTTTTACTATGAGCATTTTATGGTTTGCATACTAAAGATTTGCACATACATCAGGAAAGTTATGCAAATGCTATAGCCACACATGGACGCTATAGAAAGCTCAACCTGATATCTTAAAGAAAAGAGAGAAAACTGACCAAAAAGGTCAGGAAAAGAACGCCCCCTAGTGGATTACCATATGTTTGTGTGTAAATAAAACGTAACCTTTAATGATTTCTGTATAAAAATACTAGACAAAAAGAATAAAAGAACATATTAAAAATAAGTATGGATAGGTAAGGTAGGTAGCACTGAATGGGGTGTGTAAACTGATATAAATCTCACATCTAAGGAGTCCTGAGGTGAAAGAAACACACAAAACCCAATGAAGTGCTAATTCCAATCTATAGTACAGAGTGAAGTCAGCTAGTGAGAATATTTCTGTCACTATAATGAACATAGAGATCTCCTAGCTAAGGTATCCCTCTCTCAGTGGATAATGCTATGCGATATAGAGTAGCAAATTGTTGCTACATATGGTTGAAAATAGCTACATTGGTTAAGTAGCACTAAAGATTTGCTACAAACTTGCTGAAAAATTGACTAAACAGGAGTGAAGCATGATACAATATCGGCACTGCCTCTGCAGCTGTCAGAAGGCAGTACCTTGGCTGGAGGTTGGGGAGGTAGAAACAAATCTAGTCTCCCCCACAAGGACAAAGTGGAACTTGTATATACACCCTCCACAGTATACCAGCAGACTTGCCCCGTCCTAAAAGTACGGACTAATCGATTATCTAAATCTGCTCACGATCCAACTCCTGACAAAGCTCACTACTTGCTGCCTTCTCCGTGACAACTCAGATTCAGCCGCCCATCCAAACTCTAACCCTGCTACCTAACACGTGTTCCTGCGCTGCAAAACGCGCCTTCCTCTGAGGCCAAGGTACTGCCTTCTGACAGCTGCAGAGGCAGTGCCGATATTGTATCATGCTTCACTCCTGTTTAGTCAATTTTTCAGCAAGTTTGTAGCAAATCTTTAGTGCTACTTAACCAATGTAGCTATTTTCAACCATATGTAGCAACAATTTGCTACTCTATATCGCATAGCATTATCCACTGAGAGAGGGATACCTTAGCTAGGAGATCTCTATATTCATTATAGTGACAGAAATATTCTCACTAGCTGACTTCACTCTGTACTATAGATTGGAATTAGCACTTCATTGGGTTTTGTGTGTTTCTTTCACCTCAGGACTCCTTAGATGTGAGATTTATATCAGTTTACACACCCCATTCAGTGCTACCTACCTTACCTATCCATACTTATTTTTAATATGTTCTTTTATTCTTTTTGTCTAGTATTTTTATACAGAAATCATTAAAGGTTACGTTTTATTTACACACAAACATATGGTAATCCACTAGGGGGCGTTCTCCTTTTTCTGACCTTTTTGGTCAGTTTTCTCTCTTTTCAGTTATACATATAAGTAAGGGTTATCCCCCTATTCTGGACGCCCCAGATACACACTCTAACTGGCTCCCCTCTTTAGGGATATCCAGTGTTTTTTCCTGATATCTTAAAGGACCACTATAGTGCCAGGAAAACAAACTCCTTTTCCTGGCACTATAGTATTAATAGGTCCCCCCACCCTCATGGCCCCCCTGCCGCCGGGCTGAAGGGGGAGGAAGGGGTTAAATTCTTACCTTTCTCCAGTGCCAGGGTCCCTCGGCGCTGGGGACTCCTCTTCCTTTGCACGTCATCGGCTGAATGCGCATGCGCGGCAAGAACCACGCTTGCATTCAGTCAGTCCATAGGAAAGCATTTCTCAATGCTTTTCTATGGACACTGGCATCTTCTCACAGTGAAAATCACAGTGAGAAGCGCAGAAGCGCCTCTAGTGGCTGTCAGCGAGACAGCCACTAGAGGCTGGATTAACCCATATGTAAACATAGCAGTTTCTCTGGAACTACTATGTTTACAGCTGCAGGGTTAATCCCAGATGTACCTGGTACCCAGACCACTT